CCTTAGCTGCAGGCTAGATTACTTTAACAGAGAAAAAAAAAAAACTAAAAAATTTACTTTTTTTAAGAAAACTAACAAAAGATAGATTTATAATAGGCTTTAACTTATTAAAAAACTCTGCATGCTTATAGTAAATAAGCAGGGATAGAAAAATCTAATTAGGGAATATTATAAATCCCTAATGTTTAGACACTCTAGAATAGGCACCCTCTAGAAGAAATTAAGGGCTGCTATACTACAACAAATACTAAAAATAAAACAGCTGTGCACTAAGGTACTTAAAGAATGTAATATTTATAATAAAAATAACTTGTAAAGGCATAAGACCTATAGATACTTACAGCTAATTAAAGCCCTAAAGCAGCTATAAATAATAATTATAATAGACTTTATTATAAGACTTCCTCTATTAAAAGAACTAAGAACTAAAAGAATATGTAATATAATTATAGTAGCACTTAATAAAACTACTAAATACCTGCACACTTAGCCCTTAGAAAAGATAATAACAGCTAAAAAATTTATTTATAAATTAAAATAAAACATAATATTAGTATATAACGTACTTCATAGGCGAGTTGCTCACACACCTAAGTTGCTTACTTTTGCTAAGACCCCACTAAACTACTCTTCCTACACTAATGCATTCCCTACAACACTACTTAGACGCGCTAAAAGAACGTTAGATACAGCTTACGCTCTAAGCTTTTAAATAAGACATAAAACTCTTAAAGAAATGTGCTGTAGCTATGTGTAGGGTCTTATAAAAGATAATAAATAACTATAGCGCTAGACAACCTTTATAAGCTAATTCTACAGCTAAATTATAGAGGTTAGGCAATAAAAAGGAGCAGGTAATTGTTAAGACTATACTTAAGCTATATGCGCAAGGAATTTCCCCTTAGATAGCATTTATAGCTAATATAGCTAATTCTTTGCGCGCTAAGCATAATCTAGGCTATGTTTATATAAACTAGCCTAGTACGTTTATAAAGTGTTATTTAGAGCTTAAAGTAATGTTTAAGCGTAAGTATAACTATAAGAGAGCCCTCTACAAGAGTCTTAGGGTAATTTAGGGCAGGTTTAGCCTTGTAGAGAATATTAAAGCTAAGTATAGCATCTAGGATAATAACACGTACAACTTTAGTAAGATAGGGTTTATAATTAGCTAGATATCTCTTAACTATACTTGCGCTTAAAACTTTACTTTAAGCTCTAAATAACACTTTATAAATGTACTAGGCTAGTTTATGTAAACATAGCCTAGATTATGCTTAGCGCGCAAAGAATTAGCTATATTAGCTATAAATTCTATCTAAGGGGAAATTCCTTGCGCATATAGCTTAAGTATAGTCTTAACAATCACCTGCTTCTTTTTATTGCCTAGCCTTTATAATTTAGCTGTAGAATTAGCTTGTAAAGGTTGTCTAGCGCTGTAGTTATTTATTATCTTTTATAAAACCCTACACATAGCTATAGCACATTTCTTTAAGAGTTTTATGTTTTATTTAAAAGCTTAGAGCATAAGCTGTATCTAATGTTCTTTTAGCGCGTTTAAGTAGTGTTGTGGGGAATGCATTAGTGTAGGAAGAGTAGTTTAGTGGGGTCTTAGTAAAAGTAAGCAACTCAGGTGTGTGAGCAACTCGCCCATGAAGTACGTTAAATGCTTTAGAATTATTATCTCTAATAAAGATAAACTATTTACTAGCAGATTTTAGAAGGCAGCTATGTAACACCTTAGTATAACACATAAGCTATCTACAGCCTACCACCTACAGACAGATAGTTAGACTAAGAGAGTAAATGCTAAAGTAGAAAAATACCTTAGAAAGTACGTCTTCTACACCTAGAATAATTAGGCAGAATAGCTTTTAATAGCGCAGTTAGCTATTAACAACATAGAATTAGCTATAATAAAGTAGACACTGTATAAAGCTAATTTTAAATATAACTTTTACTTTATGCTATATAAAAACTAACCTATAGATTTTTAGAAATTAGTAGACTAGTTATTAAGTTTATAAACTATATATAAAAAGTTAGCAATAGAAGCTAGATCTAGTAAAGTAATAATAAAAAAATACGCTAACTAGTTATAATAATTAGGACTAGGAATCTACCTAGAAGACTACATATATTTTAATACTAAGAACCTTAAGATATCTAGACCCTTAAGGAAACTAGTAGAAAAAAGAATAAGACTATATAAGGTTTTACAAACTTAGTAAGATAACTATAAGATTAAGCTTTCTTTGCATATAAAAATACATTTATAGTTTTATGTCTCTAGATTAGAGAAAGCACCTAAAGAGATTCCTTTATCTACATAAGGATAGAAAGATAAAGAAACAGAGTATAAAGTAAAGCGCATTATTAGTAACTAAAGAAATAAAAAGAAATTTCTAGTAAAATAAAAAGAGTAGCTTACTAGTAAAAACACATAGAAACTAGCTAAGAATTTGCAGAACGCGCAGCTGTTAGTATAAGAGTACCTTTAGGCTTATCTAAAAAAAACTAGCTAGGCAATAAGGCACCTATATTAAAAGGAACAGCCATGTTATTACTAGATAGTAGCAGCCTTTAGAGACAAGTCCTAGCTAATAAGGGCTATAGAGAAGAACAACCCTTTACCTTAGCCTTAAGGGCTTCTATCTTGTCTAAAGAGGAGAGGTCCCTCTTTAAATACTTTACGCGCAGAGCCTCTAACAGATCTAGTAATTTTTAAATGTAATCTTATCTAGAATGCTTCTTATCCTTTACCTCTAGAGTCTTTTAGCTCTAGCGCAACATTTTTTTCTGTAAGTAAAGTTGTTTCTAGTTCTAAACTAGCTATTTATTTAGTAACACATAGTTCTAGGTCTAAGAAGCTTCTATAGACTAAAAGAGCTTTTCTCTTTTTTATTCTAAACAATCCTATGCAGCATCTAATATAAAGGTGTTGCACTTATTGTTTTTTTTTACACACTTAACGCACTTGTCTAACAATAAGGTTAACACACAGGATAACTCTAATAATTAGCAAGCGCTGTAGGGTCTTATCTTTGTCTAGTAAAGAGGATTAAAATGTAGGGCAACATAAGAATAATAAGATAAGTAAGACTAACAAGCTATTTAGTTTAAAAAAAATAGATGTTAAAGATGCCTTCTAGTAGGTAAGCACCTACCTTATAAACAAACCCTTACTAACACAGTTGTGTAAGCAGAGCGGCAAGGACGCCGCTAGGGAGGAGGGGCAGCGTGTTACAGTCTACAGTTAGACTAGCGTAACTCCACCAGCAGTGCTCCACAATCTAGCTGGATTAGGACAGGGCTCGCTTATGGACTAGTTAGACAACACAGAGGCAGCACAGTTGCCTGCGGTAATAGAAGAATGCGTTGTCTAATAGAGAAGCAGGACATAAGTCCTAAGAAGGCCTTAGCAAGTTTAGCAAGCTTAAATAAGTTAGTAATACAGTAAGAATAGCTAAACTTATTAAACTTGTCTAAACTTGCCTTAGTAGTCCTTACATATGTATATAGTTTCTACATTAAACAACCTTTAGAAGGTGTGTTTAATGTTTAGTTTATCTTTATATAGACTAAGTAGCATTTAGCTTTATAATAAGCTGCAATACTATTTGTATATCTTGCACTATATATACCTCTAATTCTGTCTAACAGGACTGTTTGACCTGGCCTCTATACTGCTGCATACAGGGCAAACCACGATCTAGTCACTCTCCCCTCCTCCACTAGCCCATTAGCCTGTACGTGGGACTGTACACCCCACCGGATTGGCCTCTCGCTACCCGTCCTACTCACCCCTAGGAATACGATTAGACTCGAGTGCTTCCCTGAAGCAAGGATTGTAACACTATCTTTACAGAGTGTGTTATAAATTTTATACTAAAGTTTAAAAGTAGTTAAAAGTTAAGTCTTAGTAGTTATTTTTAATTTTAATAAGCTAATAGTAGTCTTTAAGTTTTTAGTTTAGTGCACTTTTTATAACTTTTTAAAAGTAATTTTAATTATAAAAAATAAAAAGTTTTAAACTTAAAAGCGTTAGTTAATAAAAAGTTTTTAAAATTTTATTTATAATAACTAAATAATGTAATATAATATTATGTAAAAAATTATAGTTAACTTAAACTAAATTAAACACTTTTTAAAGTTAAATACAGTTAAATAAATAATTAATATAATATTAACGTTATTAATAAAGCTATTACTAGTAAAAGTAGGTTTTTTAATATAATATAACAGCATAGGCAAGACAATAGGTTTAAATGCCGTAGGAATCTACTTAGAGGCATATAGAAGTGTGTAGGGACTTAATAACCCAAGAATTCTATTAACACCTATAGGCTTTGTATAAAGAATATTAGCAAACTACTAAGCTAGCTAAAAGAAGAGGTGCAACTAAATACTTAGAGGAATAAAGGTAACTGTAGGGGACAGGGTTAAGTTATAGTCTAGGGCTAATACAGGAAGCCTTTAGATAGGTTCTAAGCGACCTGAGATGGAACAATTTGTAATAATTCTTACAATATTTATTACTTAAGAAAGACAATTAATAGTATTTATAATCTACTATATAGCATAGTAGGTATAACTATAAGAGGCTGAGAAAAATTAAAAAGAAACTTAATATTATAATTAGCTAGGTGGTGCGAGGCATAGACGGATGTAGTAAGGCATGAACGAATTTAGTAAGGCATAGAACAAAGAGGTAGCGTGTATATAAACAGCAATAAATCTCTGTTTTAAAGGGCAGCGATTTGTCAAAGTCTTTTACCTAGATCCTAACCATTCAAGGCCTAAATAAACTACGTTGGATAAGAGCAGTTCAGCCTGTCTTCATGTGTATTGTACACCTTTATTTTGACACCTAAAACTAGGTATTATGTATCTATGTTAGTAAACAAATTTTCAACATTTAGAAAGGTGTTTAAAGAGGCTTAAATTACTTCTACCGTTGAATCTTAAAACGACAGTACAGTCCTGGGACACAATCCTATCTTCTATGTTCGACTCGCCTTCCCTTTATCATCGCTTAGGAAATGATGCTGTTCAATCTCAGTACCAAGCGTATGAATCGGCAAATCTGAGTACTTCCCCCCATTGTACGGCTCCGAGTGATACACATCCTGACCCTCATCTACGATCTGACCCAGCGGTATATCACTGTCGGAACGCGTCCCTATCGTCGCAAATTTCTCAAAGCGTTTACTCAAGACCGGGAATTCCCAATCCTTGATGTTCCAGGGGCCGATACCTCGGGATTCTAGTGTGTGGCGGTGCAGTTGTAGTGTTCCGGAATTGATCCAGTCGTTCTTCTTCGCGAAGCGATGGTGCGTTGTTAAGGATCGGAACCAGAAGACTTGCTGCACAATGACCCAATCGAGGAGGATGAGGACGGAGCCGACTACGAGGATAATGGCCATGCCGAGGACACTAACGGCATGGTGTTCGCTGCTGCGGACTTTCTGCTGGCTACATATCTCACGCATGTTGTCGGTTGGCTGATTGATCATTTTGAGAGAACTGAGGCCCGGCCTGATCTCGAAGTCTTCTGGCGCAGCAAACTCGTTGACCCGACGCTGGAAGACGGCAAGCGAAAGGTTGTGTAAATTCCAGGATTCCAGTTGCCACTGGTTTGGAGGAAGTGGGGAGCTGGTAGAGGACTTTGTAGTGAATTGCCAGTCTCTGGCTAAAAGCAAGTTGTTTCCGTAAATTTCCGTCGACCATTGTAGCGCCATAGTCCACGCCGCCTTCCACATGACTTTGTACACGGCGTCCTGGCGTGGGGTTAAGGCCAGATCACCGTTATTGATAGCATGTTTGGCCTCATATAACCCAGTCAATTGGGTACATTTCTTTGTGCCAATGTTGCAAAACTGGTATTGTTCGGTGCAACCTAGCACCGCTAGATCATTTGATGGGACGAAGTATTGCTTGAAGCTTGAAGACAGGTTTGTTGCATTGAACAGAGGATCCTCAACGCGATCTGTGTACCTCACTTTGCGGAAAAGCTGGATCAAGGTTACGTCGGCGTCGGGAACTTGGAAGTCCGGGATGGGTTCGAAATCGCTCGCGGTGATACTCTTGTTGTTGTAGTACGCAGTGTTTGCTCTGGATTTTGTCAGCCAGTGCTCCAAAACGTGGTACCGAAATCGCTTCCGGACTGCCCAATGTCAAACTTGGTGTTCTACTAATGCATTCTACAATGAATAGCCTAGAGGGGCTTGCGCCTGTCGCTGGGGTTTCTGTAGCAGCCGCTAAACCCTTTACAACACTATCCTCTAACCTCAGAGAGAATCATGACATCAACATGCAGTAGGCGTTATCTGCCCTGTGCCAACACAATGGAAGCTGTCGGCTACCATCAAGATGGAGGATTTGTAGGAATTTCTCACTTACAGCAGAGTGTACGCGTCAAGAAAGTTGTCCTTCTGGTACTGTGTGACACAGAAAGTTGTCGTGGGTGTAGTGTCATTTTCTAGAACTCCTTCGCAGCCCCGGATACTCTTCCCAAATTCATAGTACTTCACACTGGTATTTGACGTCCTGACGTAATTTTCCGTCACATTATCCTTCCACGACGTAGCATATTTCTCGGAATTAACGGGCGCACACTGGGTTACCCTCCGCATTGAGAGTGAATCTCTTTCGGGAAAATTGATGCCTAGATCGTGGTTTGAGTGAATATGGCCTGAATCATATCGCACGGCAAAAGGCGTAGAACATGCGTTAGATCCAAATGGACAGGTGGAGGTGTTTGTGACCGAAGCATCGACCCCAGTTAGATGTGGCTGAACGTATATTTTGCATGCAGAGTTCCCAGAGTTTATATCGTCATCATAACATGTCCGAACATAGGCCGCGCTCTTTGAGATGGTCAATCGAGCAAGAAGAACCTCGGTATTTAGTATCAACAACTGGTTCTCATCTAACAATCCGGATTCGGTAATGTTTCGTACGTTGGCAACTTCGTTGGAAAACCCACATTTGCCAGCCTGCAAGAGAGCTTCACCAGAGTTAACCGTGCTAGTGACACGCGATGACAGCAGACTAGCAGCGGCGAAGAACCCAAGGTGGACGACCGTAATCAGTTGTAGAGGCAGAGAGTTCAACACAGAGGCTTTCGCTTGGCCCCTCCAGCGAATTGCTGTTGCAGCAAAATTCCAGAACGCGTTAGGTGCAGTGATTGCGTTTCGAAGGATGATTTGTTGTTGATGAAATAGCCCATCTTGAGGAACCGTGCTGGAGCGAAACTGGTGGAGTATGAAGCAAATCACTCGCCAGAAACAGGCTCCAGAGAATTGAACGAACAAAGTAAGAAACGAAACTAGAATCAAGCCCTGGGTGGTAGGGAGTGTGAGGGTGGCGCCTCTGAATCGACCGTCGTCTACAACGAAAGTTAGCAAATCCTCAGGGATCCTTGTATGCATGGGTGCTGACCCCAGTTTATCCAGAATCCAGTATATATGGCCATTATCAGACCGTGTCTCGAAGAAAAGAAAAGGGAACCGTTAAGATTCTGTCACCGCGTCAGGGAGAGCAAAATGTGTCAGTCCGAGGCCTGGGGCCTGAGTACTTTAAAGGTCGTCAATGTCAGTTGCTGTGGCGTGCTTGGGTTCTCAGCCCCGGTTCTTAAGCTTAGGGGTGTGCCTCAACCGTAAATGACAGGATCGACGCGTTTTGTGAAAAGCGCCGGGACCAGAAAGGGGTGAATGCTAGCATGTTTGGGGTTTTTTTAAATAATCAAACCTGTCAAGTTCGTCATAGGGATGTATTATTGCATCCTCTCAAAACAGGCAGAGATCTCGCGAAAGGAAATGCAATGCATTGCCAAGAGTGTGAGGCGGTGTGGGCGTGTTCGACAACTTCAAATTGTTGCAGATGTGTGGCCTGGGGGCCAACTGATCGCGTTTTGATTCGTCCACAGGGTTTACGCCCGACCACGGACCGGCTTGGCGATGTTGGGGTATCCATTAATAGAATCGGAGGATTCCCGGAGACATTTATTCAAGAGCGAACATCGCTCGTCTGTCCGAACTGGTGCGAGATGTTGCCCTTGTACTAGGCTGGCATATCTCCTTCCTTCGTGCCTCCTTTTGCCGCATCAATCCGTCATAAATCATTCCCAATCACCTCGACCTTAAGGAAATGTCCGTTGCCCAGCCCCAAAGACACTGCACAGCAATGCTACTTCCGAAATACTCAGCGTACGCCCTACCAAGCTACAAACCGTCGCCCTGCCCGACGAGACTGTTCACGCCATAACCATCATCCAGAAATTGCGTTTAATGCATCCACCGCACTCCCACACCCACAATTTCACGGAGAACCTCCTGAGAGTGTGGAGGAGACTTGGTCTTCGTGGAACGTCGTGAAGGAATAATCCCAGATATGCGGATACCCTTCTGGTGAGAGACCGCCGCCTGCCACGGTCACGTATGGGGATTGTTACGTCTAGTTCAGGGTGTGCGAGGGGACGGAATTGCTCATCAGCGGAAGGGGGTGAGGACGTACTCATATTAGTAAAGGCGCGTGACGGAATGTCGGTTGTTCCTTGATCGGTGTTCTTGATAATTAACCCGACATCTGTTTCCGTCTCTCTATTCTCAATTGAATCTTCTTTGAGGGGAGGGGGGAGGAATAAAGATTTTGATGGGCTCGCGTTCTATATTGCTTTCTACAGTTGCTTGAAAGCATTGTTTATCAGTCTGGCGATGATGTGCTCGAGATGTACTGGCACATGCGCGAATGAATACTCTAATTCTCTCTTTATGGGAATGTGCGGTAGACGCTGTATCTAACCCACAAATCTTACCCACCACATTCTTGCAATGTTGCATGATCTTCGCTAGCCGTAATTTCGTGTCTATGACGCCGATGAAGCCGGATATCTTGTCTATACCGTCGTGCATGAGGTTCTGATGCGGTTGGCTCAAAAAATGTAGAGCCGGGTGCTGTTCGACAATCAACCGTATCCCAATGCTTGCTGGTAGGTGATCGTCCAGGAACCCAATGATGTCCTTTTGGGCTGATATATTTCCTTGCTTCTAGAACCCCTATTGGAAGTATGCTTATGGCACTGTTATGGGTTGAATGCAGGGCGCAAGACGAGCAGGAAGGGTGGGCAGGTGTGAACAACTGCCATGTCTTATCTCAGCTAGCTCAGACGGCATGCCAAGAAGACACTAGTACACAAATAGTATAGATACTTTCAGACCCCTGCTGGGGCTTCTTCCTTCTTAGCTGCTGTCTAAGGGACTTTAGTGCAGCGCGATGTGTGCAAAGCTTTGTTTATTAACTTACTAGAAACTTCTATATAAGATACTATTACATACAGCTTATTACAGCGCCTATAATTAAAATTAATTACTTAAAAAGTATATAACGTACCTAACAGGTTGGCCGGCCACACAGGTTAGCTAGCCACTTTTGCTAAGCCCTTACCACACTCTACCTATCTACATAATGCCTTAACAACAACACTAGATTAAATCTTCTAAAGAACATTAAATATAGCTTACTTTTTAGGCTTTTAAATAAAACTTAGAACTCTTTTTATAACATGCTATAGCTATTTATAATGTCTTTTATATAATACTAAGTAATTAACGCGCTAGACAGCCTTTAGAAGTAAAATGCTAGCTTAAATTAAAAAATTTAACTAAGCTTAAAAAAAAAGTAGTTATTAAGTATATACTTAAGCTTATTACATATAGATTTTTTTTAGGCTTATAGCTATAGCTAATATAGCTAATTTCTTACACACAGAGTGTAATTTAGGCTAGGTTAGCTTAAACTAGCCTAGTATATAAGTTAAGCACTGCTTTAAGTTTATAATAAAGTTTAATTATAAGTATAATTATAAAAAAGTGCTTTATAAAGATCTAAAAGTTATCTAAAGCTAGTTTTACCTAGTAGCTAACATAAAAGCTAAGTATAGTATTTAAAATAAAAACATGTATAACTTTAATAAGTTAGGCTTTATAATAGGCTAGATATTAACTAGAGTAGTTATTATAGCTTTAAAGAGATAAAAATAGCTAAAATTAATATAGTAAAGTAATAAAAAGTAGATAATAGTTATTTAAAGCATTAATATAATAAAGTAGGCTATTTTACTTTTTATTCTTTTTAAAAGCTACTATTACTTTTTTATTTAGTATAAAAAAAGAATCCACTTTAGAACTAAGTTATTATAGTCTCTAAAAATAGCTAAATAATAAATAAGCTTAAGCTGCAGTAGTTAAAGCACTTTAATAAGTATATAAAAAAAAAGTTATAAGCACTTATTAGCTTTTTATTATTAATAGCTATAAAGCTATAACTTACTTAATTTTTAGTAGTACTATAAAAAGAATAAGATTATTACTTATATTATAAAACTTAAGTTTTTACTATGCTTTATATACACTTATAATATAGTAATTACTTCTAGTAATATTTAAAGAAGGTTTTAAAGCGCTAGTTTAGTTCTATTTAACCTAAAATAAGTTAAAATAGCCTTTAATATTTAGTTATATACTTTATTACTACTACTACTTATTAATAATAAGCCCTAGTAGTTGTTAACTTTAAGTAATACTTTTAAATTTAGGTTATAATTAATGCTTATAAAAGTAAAAATTTAGAGGCATGTAAATAGCTTACTAACATTTACAGTAAAGGCCTTTAAAAAGGTCTTAAAGAGGGCATTAATTATTACACATAAGCTAGTGTTAGTATAAAAGAAGATTATAAAGCTTTAAGTAGTAAATAAAGCTACTACATAACATAAATTATATAAAAGAAAGTAGATTTAGGTAAAAAAGACTTTAATAGTTAAAAATAAAGCTTGTCTAACTGCTTTAAAGGAGTTTAAAGTGTGTAGTAATAGAAAGAAGCTAAAGACATAGGTGTGCGCTAAAAAAAGTAAGCTAAGTTAAAGGTAATATAAGTAGTGTAATTAGACTAGGCATAACTTGCGTATGTGTAAGAAAGTAGTAGAAGTAGACTCTAAATAATATCTTGTGTTATATTGCTTTATATAGGGCTAAAGTAGGCTGTTTTGCGCTAGAATAGGGTGGTTTTAGTAGAGGCTTGGCAAAAGTGCCTGGCCAACCTGTTAGGTACGTTATAATTTACTTTAAACTATTTTCAAATAAATTTCTAACATTTTAACTATAAAAATTATAGGCTTAGCATTACACACATTTTAACACATAACGTACTTTACAGGCAAGTTGCTTACACACCTAAGTTACTTACTTTTACTAAGACCCTACTACACTACTCTTTCTACACTAATACATTCCTAACAACACTACTTAGACATGTTAAAGAAATGTTAAATGTAGCTTATACTTTAGGCTTTTAAATAAAATGTAACACTTTTTAAGTAACACGCTGTAGCTATCTATAAAGTCCTTTAAAAAATAATAAGTAACTAACACACTAAACAACTTTTTTAAGCTAATTATATAGCTAACTTATAAAAGCTAGATAATAATAAAAAGTAGGTAATTATTTAGCACATACTTAAGCTAAATGTATAAGAATTTCCCCTTTAGCTAGCAGCTATAGCTAATATAGCTAATTCTTTACACACTAAGTGTAATATAAGCTATATTAGCATAAACTAGCTTAATATATTTATTAAGTATTACTTAAAGCTTAAAGTAAAGTTTAAGTGTAAGTATAACTATAAAAAAGCTTTTTATAAAAATTTTATAGTAATTTAAAGCTAGTTTAACTTTATAAAGAATATTAAAGCTAAGTATAGTATCTAGAATAATAACATGTATAACTTTAACAAAATAAAGTTTATAATAGGCTACATATCTACTAAAGTAGTTATTATAAGTTTAAAAAGACAAGAACAGCTAAAAGCAGTTTAGCTAGGTAACTAGAAGTAAACAACAGCTATTTAAGGCATTAATGCTAAAAAGTAAGCTATTTTACTTTTTATTATCTTTTAAAGTAGCAACTATCTTTTAAACTAGTATAAAAAAAATCTACTTTAAAATTAAGTTATTATAATCTCTAAGTATAGCTAGACTACTAATTAGCTTAGTTTAGACTAGTTAAAGCACTTTAATGTGTATATAAAAAAGTGTACTATTAGTAGCTACTATCTGCTAGTTATTAACAGCTATAAGAGCTATAACTTACTTTATTTTTAGTAATACTATAAAAATAATAAAATTATTACTATTTATATACTTTTTTATTTATTACACTTTTTATAGCTACTTAATGTAAGTTGTTTTACTCCTTTAAAAAAAGTGTATAGGCGCTAAGCTAAAAACTTTATACACAACTAAATTACTTATATTATAAAAATAAAGTTTCTACTATACTTTAAAGTAGCTTATAATACTATAATTACTTTTAGTAATATCTAAAAAAAGTTTTAAAGTGCTAGATTAGTTTCTTTTAACTTATAATAAGTTATAATAAGCTTTAATGTAAAGTTGCGCACTTTATTACTACTACTAC